TTGCAGAAATCATTTTGTGACATTCATGTTTTTGTTCATTTACAAAACAAAATCTGCGGTTATGTGGTGAGGCGGCGGCGCCCACAAAATCGCGTCCGTCCCACGCGACCGAAAAGTGGAAAAGGGGCGTCGTCGTGAATGTGTTAAAGGCACACTTCGTGTTGGGTAAGGGGCAAAGACGAGAACACGCTTGTTGGTGGAAGGACACAGAGATTTGGATCACACCATTCAACGCGCAACCATGCCGTATTACTCGGCCTATAGCTGGTGTCAGAGTCCGCGATCCGTCGCAGGTTTCGCGCGATCGCACGATTCGCGAAACGCGCGGATCGCAAAAATTGCAAGTGCCCCATTTGAACATTTGAAACACTGAATATGAAACAAGTGGAATCATGAGCAGTCGTCATTCAGCCATCACTATCAAGCAGAAGTGGCGGCGGGATTGGAGAACACCTTGCAGTATTGATCGGGCACTTGTGATTTCCGTGACCCGTCGCGTGAATCGCGTGAGACCTGCGAAACCTGCGAAGGATCGCGGACTCTGAAACCAGCCTTAGGTAAACGACGCAGGACGAAAGTGTTAGGATTTTTGCGTTCTTCTATTCTGAACTTGGAATTATGCTCTCAGACTTTTTGGATTAGAATTGAATGCATTTTCTAGTACCTTTTAGTAACTATTTGATGTCTAAGAATAATGTGAGCAGTTCCTGAATTCGAAACAAGCTCTTTTCCGTCATAGAAAGCCTAGTTGTCCATACGTTTTGAACTCACCTCATTACAGCGGGGGAGGAAGCTTGTTCGCGCGAAGTCTTGAGATCCTCGAAAAAGAAACGGTGTCGTACAGCTCTTCTGACCATCTCTGAAAGAGTTTTAATTACCTCGCTCTTGCATTCAAAGCAGATCAAGTGAAAGAAAAGGTGCCAAAGATAAAGGTTCTCAGTTTCTCAGTTCACAATCACAGTCGCCATTTCTGATAAGATGGTTGATAACAATTGAGAAAAAAGTTCATTCTCTTCTACAAACGAATTACTCATTGATTTAAGGGCATTTGTTGGACAGCACTGTTCACGAGCTGTAAAGGCGATTCATGATGCTGGTGACGAGAACAGTCTTCCAAGGTAGGGCTGCTTTTTCATTTCGATGGAGATTTTTCTTGGATTTCTACTCTTGTGAGCCCACGTGTGATACAGGGGATTTAACCGTTTCATAAACAGCTTCTCGATACACACCTGTCTTCTAGGTTATTGCAGATGTCTCCGCACCGGCAGAATCAAGGTTCTGTTATCGTATTGGAAATTGTCCCATGCGGAAATGAGATTTTCTTTTCCAAAGCAGTTTCCTTCTGAATTTTTTGTCAAATTTTTTTTATAATATGAGAGAAAGAGCGCGTTTCAGTTATGCTATTTTTGAACTTTAGGTTGACTTTTCCCTTACTCTCATTTCCTAGGCTGATGTCATAGTCCACGATCCGGCGCGATTCGCGATCACAGAAATGCAAGTGATCGATCGATACTGCGAGGTGCTCTCCAATCCCGCCGCCATTTCTGCTTGATGGTGATGGTTGAATGACTGTTCATGATTCTACTTGTTTCATATTCAGTGTTTCAAATGTTCTAATAGAGCACTTGCAAGCAATGGTTCGCGGACTCTGACACCAGCCTTAGGCCGCTTTCATACTTTGCGCCGGTGCGGTCCGTGCGGACGGTGCGAAGAGTGAGGAGCGTCAATACGCGCACTGGCGCATGACGCGTACTTGGCGTACAGTCGGTGGCTTCCGCTCGATAATTTCAGTCTCAATATGTTATCTCCAATAAGCAAGAAATTTTAAAAAAGCGCTTCACGTCACTTATGATATAGGCACATGCACCAAGTGGGTGAAAGGTGCTAGATAAAGCTGACTTTTCAGTACTTAGAATGAAACAAGTTACAGATACGCTCTTCACGTTGACTCTTCACGAAAAACTGGTACACTCAAAAGAAGAGCGGCTAGGTCCCACAGCCAGTCGAGCTCTCGCGGTGGTACCCCGGACGCCACCATTAATCGCTTCAATCCCCGTACGGTGAGCAAAATGCAGGGAAATTTGCGGTGATTGTAAAATAATGTCCAGTTGACCATTTTGGTAGTTGCTTTTTTTCTCGAATGAGCTTCTATGAGCATGTGTATATCTGTTACATGGACGATATTCCGTTATTTCCAAACTCTCATTGTTACGCTTCAACTGGCTTGAAGCTGAGATTTTTCCGTTCTGCCGAATTCACTCTGATCGGATTCGAAAGTTTCAGGAAGGGTTTTCAATCTTTTGTCACATTGTGCGCAGATTGTCGTCAAATTCTCAGGACGGCACAATCAACTGGAATGTAATCAGAAATCAGTATAGGTATGCGATTTGCTCTGGATCACGTCTTGTCATATGTCCTGGGTGCCGAAGTATCGTATTGTTTGAATTTGTTGGAATGAAACTTCGGTTGATTGTCTCGTGTTCCAGGAAAGAAACAGGACGACATCTCAATGCGGAGGAGTTGAACTCTATGTGCGGAACTTTGAACATGACCAAGTGTGTTTCTACTTTTGACCCGTGAGAAGCTGTAGAATGTCGTTGAAATGATGTCTAATGCGAGGGTTCCTTTAGACACGACCTCCTGAACACTCATCTGTCGGCAGTTGTAGAGATTCTTGACAGCCGTGGACAAATTCTGAGGCTGGCGCCCCATTTCAATCCGAAAACACCTAGCCCAACGTCTTCTCACTCACGCTCCTCTCAAGGTGATCGGAATTCTGGTCAGTCGTGTTTACTGCCAAATGAACTGGATTGTAGACGAGATATTGTTTACAGACGAGCAACTTTCGCCTCTAGCTGGGACCACAGCTGAACTAAATCACACGGATTTGGATCAGGTGAGGAGAAGTTGTAGGGTCGTGCTATATTAAGCAATTTCAATATATGTGTGAGTCAAATTAACTTATTTTTTATATTCTCTAAATAGTTGGTGTACGTTCTTGATTTACCGCTCTGAATATATTTCAATTTCAAGGATAGTGCACGACGACAGCTAATCGTAGAGCAACTAAGGAAAAATGGTGTGTATGTGGACGAAAATGGCCGAACAGTTGTTCCTAAAGAACGCACTCCACTGTCCAGTCAAGGGACTGAGCCAGTTGACGAAGAGATAATGGTAATTTAACAATTAGTCGTTGCTCCTTTGCTCATCGCCCTGAATCTGATCGTGAGCGGTGAGAGGTGCCGTTAATGAAGGCTCCCATCAGTACTAGTGATCCACCACCCTGGCATGGATGAATCGGATTGCATAGATTTTTATGGTAGAATTTTAAAAATCACACATTGCAAGATAACAACAACAAGTTTTGAAAATAGTAACATTTTGAGCAAAGCCAACTCTTAATTGATGAAAATAGCAATGCTCTTATGACAGTATTCGATTGAAGGTGTACATGACTCCGGTGGCGTCTTTCAAAGGCGATATAGCTCCTTCTGCTCCGGATTGTGAACAGGTGCGTCGGAAGTTGTGTGACTTTTCCCCTTAATACCATATGTTAGGTTAGCCAATAGTTGGCTTGGTTCTTTATCGAAGCAATTCAAAATTGGAAGCGACAGTCGAGCACGAATATCTTGCATTTTCTGCTGGCAATGGGAGTTGTTCCGGTCGTGGACCGCTTTTCAGAACGTATTTTGCATGTCATTGAGGCGGGTGCGTTGCATTTTTCCCCAGGTCAGGTCACGTAAAATTAGGACATCACTCATTTGCTCGGAGCAAGCCTCGGCAGAATCATAGGCTTGAGCATAAGCCAATAGGTAAGCATAAGCCTGAGCCTAAGCTTAAACTTGAGCTAATCCTTAGGCTTTGATGATTGCGCAGCTTAAGTGATCAGACTCCAGGAGAAGAACTCAATGTCTTCCCATTTAGACGGACCTGGAATGAGAAATCGAAGCTTTCTAGCGATTTTTTCTTTTTCTTTTCTGGCATTCTTAAAACCATTTAACAAAAGTGAGGTTCTTGTTGCTTTATACGTGCGTGCCCTCCAACATACAAGTAACCAATTTGAGGGTAACTCTCCACGTCATGAAAAATTCTACTGTTAGGAACGGTGAACGCCATCAGAAGCATCTATCAATATTCTCCAGTCATTTTAAAAAGATCTTCTAGTGGATCATAGAAGAACAAACTTTTCTTGTCTATAGCTGACACGCTCTCAGTGGTGCTGCAAATCATGCTCTACAGTTAAGTAGAATAGAAAGTGTGAGCGAAAGCTTTTCTCATATAATGGGGAAAGCGAAAGAGTCGATGATTCAATGTGTGCCTTTTCCTTTTCCTAGTTGATTGTTTTGGATTGATATGCATAGGAGTTGAACTCTATGTGCGGAACTTTGAACATGACCAATTGTTTTTCTACTTTTGATCAGTGAGAAGCTGTAGAATGTTGTTAAAATGATGTCTAATGCAAAGGTTCCACGACCTGAACACCCATCTGTCGGCATTTGTAGGGAGACTTGACAGTCGTTTACTCATGTGTTTTAAATTTCTAGTCGACTACAGAACAAGAAGTGTAAGGAAACGTTTTATTAGGTTTGCTCCGCTGATTCTCCGGATCAGCGTGTCACCCTGGAATCTGGCAATACATCATTTATGTCTGTCGGGCAAGTTCTCGAGACAAGCGGCGAATGTGATTACGTGACTGGAGACGACGCCGTAAGTATCCTCTGGTTGTGTTTTTGTTGTCTAGAAAAAATCTTATTGCAAGAAACTTTAGACACCAGAAAGTGATATTTCACTCGATTTCTCAAATGATCGTTCGGGTCGCGAAAGTTCTCCGGGTCGTACGCATGAGATCACATTGTGCAATATTGAAGAATCTATTGTGCATCAGGAAGAAGAGGTATTTCTACATGTCTTGATTACTTCGAGATTTTTCTTGAAAGCTCCGGTGGCTGTGAAAGCGTTGTAGTTTGGAGTGAGCATGTGGAGCTCACTTCTTATGGAGCTAAAATAATTACTAACGAGAATGGTCTAGTGAGCCGCCATCAGTGCGACTACGGTTATTTGCTGTCTCCATCTACACTGCCCTCTTCAGCTTCTTATTTTCACGGTTTTTTTTGCGAGTTTCCGAGGGGCAACTGGCATGTGGAGTTCTTAGAGCACACGCTACACTACAGAGTGCAACCGGACGGAAAGATTACTATGGGAGGTCGCTTTCAGGGCAAGGGTGTCTTGACTTTTTAAAACACGCTTCTGTGACACATTGGGGCGGGACGCGGAGCAAACCATGTTTTATTATTCCGCTGAACCGGATGAACCGTACAAAAAGAAGCGTAAGGTACTGTTAAGGGTTCGATCCCCCGTGGCGACTAAATTTTGCATTTGGGTTGGCGCCTACGGTTGGTGCCAAATCGCGCTAAATATCAAAATCAGATGTCAAATTCATCGTCAGGACCATTTTGAAGCCAACAAGTAGTGGCCGCCAACCTTGATTGCAAAATTTAGTCGCCGCGGGGATTGAACCATCAAGAGTATTATTCACCACTTTTTTGGTACTACTAAAACCGTTCAGCGAAAACGAAACATGGTTTTGTGGTCCATACATGCGTCCCTACAACATGTACTAAACCGTTTCCAAAAAGCGCACCTTGCCCTGAAAGACCTCCCTTGTTCGGGCAGAGGCACCTCTGGAGGGAGATCTCAACGGAGTCGTTCCCTTTACAGTCCCTTAATTGCGAATTATCTTATACCAGCGCCTCGTTCAGTAGTAAAAAGCCCAGACTTTTCGAAAAATCGAAGGTCTATAAATACAAAACAATTTTACGTCGTACACGAATCGACTGTGGTTTTTCGGGAATTTCATTATCTCACTGTTTTGTATATGAGTTGGAAGGATCGCGGACTGCCAAAAGCGACGCTAATTCACCGCCTTCACGTTAGAAAGTTTGTTCTCCTTGACACATTCACGACGACGGCTTTTTTCGCTTGTTTGAGATGGGCGCGATTTTGCATTCGCCTCGCCTCGCATCCGTAGATTTTGCTTAAATAAACGGAAACGACAAACACAAATAGCGCAGATAATTTCAGCATTCTACAAGACATTCTGATATGATGTGCAAAAAAGTTTGACAAACGGGTGGTAGGCGATTATTAGCTGGCAGCTCTTATGGACTGTCACCGACGGGGATGTGTTAAGCTTGAGTCGGAATCAGAATCCTCTCTGAACATTCTTTGATGCGCCTGCCTCAAAATTCTGTAGATCTTTTGCCTCGCCGTTATCTTTTTCGGGCAAAAACCAATTGCAGATTTCCCAAACTCATGAGGAGCAAAATCATAGCAATAATTCGATGGTAACCTGATAGGAAAATGGCTTAGCTAAAAGTATTCTACAAGGAATATAAAACGGGAAAGATGGTTTGGGGGGGAAATGTTGAAATGTGGGATGGCGACGCAGGGCAATTCAGCTGAAACTTGACTGAACTTAAGCAATTATCAATCTCGCCAGACACGCTTGACAGACAGAGACGGAAGCAGGGAAGATACATATTGATACATACACGTCACTTCTGCTGAGCGTCAAGGGTTAGGTATTAGCACTCTTTCAAAGTCGGTGAAAATGTAGTTTGAGGGGGGGGGGGGTGGATGATGCTATCTAATCGAAGTGGAATCGCGGAAAGACACTAATATCTTATCAAGCATCATCATATCTTTTGCTTATGTCAGGTGGCTGACAGTACATCACCATTTCCAATTTGTGTCGTATTGTTCTTATAGGCCAAGATGGCTGCTACTGTTGACTGCTGTCATTTCGCCTGTAACTTTCGGCGTACGCATAGGCTGGTCCGACAGCAATGATCGAGTTGTCGCACGAAGTATGAGCAGTTTGAGTATCGATCGTCAGAAGTGCGACACTACGACCGCTGCTTGTTTCGGACGACCGAGCAAACGATCGTTACGAGTGCTCGCACGACAATATACGCCTCTAGCAGCATAGTTGGCCACATAACAATGAGACTTCGAGAATTACATCACGCGTATGTCACGTGTTGGTCTTGGGGTTCGTGCATTGGATGACGCTCGCCTTTCATCTGTGACAGCGGTTTTATGACGGACACGTTAGGAGTGAATGCGTTGCTGTCGTCTCGACGATAGCACGATACGGTTATGTTGGCGAGTCGGACTATGGCGTTCGGCCTCCTGGCCGATCGTGCGTTGCAAGTCTTCGAAGTGACAGGGCTTCAAGGTTCCGATCGGTGCGGAATATCCCAACTGGGGAAGTCCTCAATTTAATGCGTACACTCAAAATGTGCTCTCTACAATGTGGTGTTGATAGTAGATATGAGGGCGGCCTTCCGTCATAACTTCACTCTTTATTAGATATTTATGAATGGCCCCCACCAGAATATATTTTAACCCGAAAGTCTAGCACTTTTATTCAATACACTAGAAGGTGTGCACAGACACGTAAGCAATAACACGTAGGAAGTTATTGAGATATGAAACTAATTCGAATTGGTATGGAGATTGACTTGAACGGAAAGCGGTAAAGGGCCTTCGGTAGACTTGAAAACTTTGATACGGGGTGACCCATCAACATACATGGCCTTTTGACCTTCACTACAGCCTGTACAATTAGATGATGAAATGTAAGCAAGGCCAGTTAATGAAAGGGCGACGCTGAACATAAAGTCGTGCCAGTGGTTGAACTGAGTTATGCTAGTTATTGCGCTGAAGGCCTTTTAAACGATCTATTACAATTGCGTTGCCTTCGGAAATCTTTCATCTTAGTTAAAAGACAGGAGGGAGCTTCAACGAAGAGAGAGGAAAGAGAGATCATGGCACATTGTCATTTAGAAAGGAAAATCGCTTGTTTAGGGTTTGCAAAGCAAAGACAAGTTATGGTTTGTTGAACGCACTGCGTATTGTGGGAATTGTGATTTTTTTTTCAGGATTTCAAACATCACCTCGGCGAAGCCGTTGTTATTGGATCTAACGGTAACGAGATTCATGATGAAGTTGTAGGCGCTAACCAAAGAGACTTGATCGAAGAAGAAGAAGTGAGGTGTGCTGTCGAACTTGGAAATACGATTTGGGCGGCATGACCGCGAATCACGGAATTCCGAAAGTACGCAGTTTTCTAACAAAGGTAACGAATTTTATGTCATCAAAAACATGGAAAGAAAAGTTGCTTGACAGAAGAGTACTGACCTGTCGATGAAATGCGCCCTTTGGCGAACGTCGACTCTTATTGAGGTAAAGGCAGAAGAACCCGACCAAGAAACTTCGATGATAACTCCACACTCACCCAGCGTGGGATCTGAACGTTCTGGTGCTTCGTATTATCTTAATGAAATGGAGAAGAAGACTGTCATCCCTAATTTGTCATCTGTTTATGATGATGATATCGTTTTCAAAGGATGTGCGCTACTCGATGCTACGCAGGAAAGACAAATGGAAGGGTCACGAGATCTGAATTACAGATGTGATTTTGGGAAAGTGACTTTTGATGGAGAGGAGAATCCGGCAGAGCCTGTTGCGCCTATGACGCCGGTGAAAGAGAGAATGATGATGTTTGAAAAAAGGATTGAGAAGGACGATGATGATTTGCTTTCGCACGAGCCAGCTTTTCCAGAAGAGGGAAGCCTCTATATGCACGTGAAAGAGCAAGTAGATAAATTTGAGCGCTTGCATGACGAGGACCTGAATGAGTCATTAGGCCAGTTCATTGAAAACGAGCTCATAGAAAATGTTCCATGTGATGATGGAGACTGTACATGATCTCGAAAATCTGAGGCCCATGACGAGAACTTGAGATTCCGCATCGGTCAAGTATCATGAAAGACGAGCTGCTAGAAAATCCGTGACGTGATGGGAAATTGCATTGATTCAGGAAACTCAGCTTGGCATCCACTCAGAAGAGTTGAATTGAAACAAGCCCGCAGTTGACGAGGTTTTAATGGAAACGAGCTACAGTCCGTAGAAAACGACGCTCCATTGTGTATGGAACTGATGCATGATCTCGAGAAATCGTTATACGAGTCGGAGTCAGCGGTTATTGATCACGAAGTGGAAGCGTTGCCAACGAAGATTCATGTACAGGAGACGGTGCATTATCTTGAGCATGAATACGATCGTTCAATGCCTGTGTGTGATGAATATGTGCAAATTGTTTCTCATCGACAAGATGCTGGAGATGCTTCCGCGGCTGGAATCATTGGTGATGAGGTCGTTTTTTGAATGACTACGTTTTGCTTCGATCTCTACGTTATCGCTTTCTCTTCCAGACTGCTGCGGTGTAACGACGAACAAGAAAGCGCAGAGGTGTTCTGTCATGTGGATTTGTCACGCGCTGGTTTGTTTTTTGCAGCTGCGGCCTTCTTATTTTTTCCATGTTTTTTTTTTCAAGTTGCGGTTTCCCATTTTTTTCAAAACTTGGGCGCACCATTAAAGCCATCAAATGTGGAGTTTCTAGTTTGCGCCAGTGATTCAGCAATCAAGAGAAGCCTGTTTTAGACGTGTTGCAAGCGCTTGCAAGAATAATAGCTCAGATAGGACATTTGTTGTCCTGTTTTTGTAGGCAAAACACGACAAAAAAATTCTGAAAAATTCCAGTTCGCTGTTTTGGACATAAAATGTTTCAGAGTTAGGTTCATGGGATTTTAAGAACTTCAATAATTGGGCCATTTTATTCGTGAGATAGTTCAAGCTTTTAGTGCTTATTTCAAAACTCAATAGTCCTCGAATGATTGACTTTTCGTTGATCGCAGTCATCTTTCAGAAGAGGCTACTACTAAGACTGTGACTGTAACTGTTGGTGAAACCGTAGCCGACCGTGATTTGGTGAAGGTGGTTTTACATCTGTTTTGCTTTTTGGCTTACTTTTTTCGCATGTTTTCTATTTTTCCTTTCCTCCCTGTTTAAAGGGTTGTTGCATTTTTTGCACTTCTAATTCCTGACTATTTTACTTTTAAGGAGACTGAACCCTCTAACGCGCAAAGCACCCAGATTGTTGTTGTTGACGTTAATCCTTGCACGGAAAACAAACCTAAATTACGGGTTTGTCTTATGAATTCACTATTTTTTTCATTGTAAATAAAACTAACTGCGGATGCTCTTCTTGCGATCTTACTTTCTGCTACAATTAATTTCTTGTGTGGTTTTAAATAACGGACTTGAAGGAGTATCCTATGAAGTTGGCAAATCAAGATTCAAACAGTGATAGTTTGCTTTTGTTGCGATATAATTTCTTCTACAAATTAGGAGAGCGACACCTGGGAGAAAGAGTTCGTTGTCGCCAGTGGATCGACAGCTTCCGAGATCTCCGAATCGCTTGAGGAGTTGCATGCTTCTGTTGCTCATGAATTTATTCGCGAAGTTGAGGGCGTCGGAATGAATGACAAAGAGGTCAGTTGTATTACTCGGAAGAACTATTTGGAATTGAGGCCAGCGCTAGTGATGATGATAATTGACCTGTGGGCTGATAATACAAACAAGCTTGCGTATTTTCAAGTCGCATGAAGAAAATTGTGATTTCAAACTAGTCAGACTTGTCCTGCGAATTGCGCGCAGCTGTTTGCAGTCGCTTATACATTCTCGCAGTCCTTTCGTGGGCAGTAATCACCATCGATAGAGGGAGGTACGGTTTTGCTGACGTAATTGAACGTCATTGGTTCAACGGCTAACGCTGAGGGGTCTAGTCCACCGATGATGTTCAATGCCGTCGCCCTTCTAGCCAAAGTGATCTGCCTGCCTTTAAGAAGGCGTTATCGCTATAAGACCGCGGTCGCACTCGGCGACGGCAGTCT